ACTCACAGTATCAAGTTTAAACAAGATGTGATTAAAAGTGTTCATGTATTGATGATGTATAATGATTTTTTGTTTCAACTAATGGTATCAAGTCAAGATTACAAGTGATTAAAAGTTAAGTCAACTTCGACAACTTAAAAAACAATATTGTGACAACTAGAACATTATAGTATAATCAACCTTTTGAACTTTATTTTCAGAGTTGAAACAAAGGTAATCTTCAGTTGAGTTAACTTGCAGTTTTAAGGCAGCAGGTGAACCTTCATTTGCAAGTTAAACTGACCTGAAATGTCTAACAGTGTAGTGGTTCTGAGCGAAGCAGTGGCCAATGTGGCACCTTTCCTCAGATCAGGATCTCGTAATTACAAGATATGGTGTAAAAAAAAATTTTATCCAGTGAATGCAATGCACTTCCGTACTAATTGACTTGTCCCAAAGTTCAATTTACAACTTAAAATAAGAAAAGTTAATCACAGATGAATATACATTTTTGTAATTAGTAATCTAATACACTGGATTAAAAAAATGTAATCTAATCTGAATACTTTTGGATTACTTCAAAATCAAACATTGAAAAAAAATTGACGCAGAGACAAAAACTTGAGTTCTACAAATATTTTTTTTCTCTTTAAACATCTCAAAACATTTTCAACTCAAATAAAATTGTATTTAGCATATTCTGTTGGTCTAAGACACACCAAATGTCTTCTCTAATTATTTATAAATTTTTCAATGTTGAAAACCATTGTTGTTAGCCGTCCACTGGAAGTCCCATGATGCCTTTGGCTGAGTCAATCCAAGATCAAATGCACCTTAAAGGGTCCTGACTATTGTCTTCTGTGTTTGTAATGTCATGTTAAATGTATGTATCTTGTCCTAATTGTTGTCCTAAATGAAGCTGCTGTGATGCAAGAAAAGTTTCAGACTTGATCTGACAATAAAGTCAAAAATCATAATCATCAAGACCATTTCTGATCTCAAACACATTGCACAATGGAATAACATAATTGACCCAACTCCCTTATTATATCCATATCTATAGAGCCCAGAGAGTTCATACAGCAATAGTTCATGAAAAAAGTTCCATCATTACTTTTTAATCTGGCCTTGGGGAAAGATATCAAGTAATTTCAAGTCAAAAGGCTCAAGTCCAAGTGAAGTAGTCACTAGTCACTGTTGTTAAAGTTGAAATTGAGTTGCAAGTAATTTTTTAATTTGTGGACTCTAAAGTCATCAAATTTATGACTCTGGTCTGACTCGATTCCATAGTCTGGTACATATGGTATTTAGGGTAGTTATATTTGTGCTCTCAGTGTGTTTGGGATCTTTGTCTCACCTGAGCAATACCTCCCACCATCTTGCTCTTGACCACCACAGCCTGGTCATCCTGAGCATCGAATGCTGCTTTCTGTGCTGCTTTCACCAGGTTATCAGAGGCTCTTTTCACAGCATTTCCAGCAGCCTGCAGAAACATACAATGACACAAGATGAAAAAATGAAGTTGAGTGTGAGAGTTTATTCTTAAGTCCACACTAGCTTTTTCTGTAGGTTGTCATGACTTAATGTTCCAGAAAAGGTTAGTGTGTGGCCTTGTTTTAAGTTACTTCTCTCAAACGAAAAAACAATAAAGGAAAAATAAGGTTAAATATAAAAGCTTAACAGAGGTCTACTTCTGTTACAGTGGACCATGAGGGAATGTGGAAACAAAGTCATGCAGAGTTGAGGCAGCATACACATTAACTGTGACTCATGTGAACAGCAACTCCAGGAAAGGGAATGATAACTTCCACCAGTGCCCCCCCCCCAGGCTCAGTGCTGGAGCATAGCTGTAAAAGGCAACGAGGAGCAGCCTGCTGAACTACACTCAAAGCCAAACATTTGTCTCATTGGTCCACTCAGATCCAACAAAGAGGATTTTTCTCCTTTTGAGGCTCTGTGGGCTGAAATCAGACACTGAGCTGGCAGAGGACAGTATAGTCGCACACAGTGAGTAAGTAAATGAATCCTCCTCTATCTTTGGTTGGAATGTTACTGTTAGTCTGGCCCTGACATACTGTACAACATAACACTGTTAAGCCCTCTTCATCAGCTGTACAGAGGCCAAACACTTAACTGGTTTAAAACCAAACTGGTTTAAAACTAGACTAACTAAACTAACTGGAGGGCTGATGTTTAGCCAAAAAAAAAGAGCAAAAGCTAATTAACCCCCCATTTGAAGTGGAAGACACCCTTTTATATACACAAAAAATGCACTTAAATCCAGGGACATCCACTCTACTCTGTCTACACCAGACTCATTCCAACAGTGTTTTTTAGTCATTCATCAGTTTAAATCAACACAGCTGTCTAGTCAAGTGTGAACCTATTGTGACGTCATCCATTGGAGTACTGTTTGGATGCCTTGAGTTTGGCATTATGGTCGTCGCCATGTTGTAGTGGCAGTGATGTACTGCCAGATAAGTTGGTGGCATCCCTGGTCACACACGTTCACAGATTACAGATAAACAATAAGACAATGCAGTAACATAATTTGGATTCATATCTGATCAGCACTGCCTAGTTTGACAGTTTGGGGCGTTGAGCTGGATGGACTCACTGAGAATGACTTGCCAATCACAAGGTAGCCACGCCCAAAAGCATACCCTGCTTTATTGTCTATTTTACTCTATATGGGAACATAAATTACTAAATGACCATTATGCTGTATGGAAGAAGACTGGGACTAGAGATTCAGACCAGAAACCGTTTACTGAGCTAATAAATCAAGTGAGAAGTAGGGTAATTTATCCATAAGACTCAATACTATCAGACTTTTTCCCCCGCAGTCAATGGAGCTGCCCCCTGCTGGTCATTAGAGAAAATGTAGAAAGAAGCATTGGCCCCACTTCACACACCCGAAAAGCTCTGTCCACTAATTATATATCTGTCACTGGACAGTGACCTTTCACTCACACTGCAGCCCAACTACAGCAAGCACAAAGCTCAGAGGCCAAGCGTTGCATTGTGGGATTGTTAGCCGAAAGTTGTGTTCATGCCATGGACACTACTTATTCTGTTCTATAAAAGCTGACAATGTCAGCCACCTGGTAGTAATTCCTAGTTGGGGATATGGTTCATTTCTGACAGCTATTGAATCTCCCACAGGTGTCAACCATTGGCATATAAAGATGGACAACATGATAGCTCCCCAAAAGTGATGCCAAAACATCTTGAACGTCCCCTGGTGGCTGACTGCAGTATAGGTCATAGTCCACCCCCTCCATGTTAGCCGTGGGGACATAGGCCAAACTAAAAAGTTAAAGTATACGTCAAATACATTGTTCAAGTACTTAGTTCTTATCACACTGATGCATGTTTGAAATAGATATAATATGCATAACCATGTTTTCATTACAACTATACCACTACATGCCACTGAATTCTACACAATGGTCTTTTAAATAAATGTTAAATAAATAAATCTAGTGTGACAAAAAGGCTAGCAATTTGGATTACCAATTTTACCATGGTACCAAATAACTAACTCCATATATAAAACAGTTCTGTCCATGAATCAGTCACAGTCGGAACAGCCACCATTCCTCAGATATTCACACTCAACTGATGCACTGTACATTACTCAGCACTTTGAATAATTATAACCTTAAAAAGCACCATGGCAAAGAGTGAAGAGAGCAAATGCTGCTGGTGTAATCAAAGATCAGGGCTAATGTTTCCACTTCTTGGTTCCATGGGTGGACTGGTGGATTGTTTCCAGAGCTCCTCTAGACATAAATGTATGGGAATTACTCTGGTGGCAGCTGCAGGCCCAGAAGAGGAGGAGATAAGCCACTGCTGATTGGATCAGAGAATATGAGATGGCCTGGGCAGGCTGATGTGCTCACAGCTAGCATACACACAGCCTTAAAGATAGTATTTTTGGGTGGATGGGGTGACAGGAGATACTTGTAGTTTCTGTTATGTCTTGGGACTGACCGCATCAGTTACACATAAAGGTCACAACAACCCTTCTGTGCTACATTATTATTATCAGTGGGTTAGTGCTTTCAGTGCAATTTAAAGGTCCAGTGTTTAACATTTAGGAGGATCTATTGAGAAAATAAATTAAATATACTGTACTGTTATATTATATAGGTATGTTGTGTATAATCACCAGAAAATAAGAATGGTTGTTTGTTACCGTATGATGAGATCCACAGAGGGAGTGGGTCCTCTTCTTTGGAGGCCACCATGTTGAACCGTCATGTTTCTACAGTAGCCCAGAATGGACAAACCAAATGCTGGCTCTAGCTAAGGCCTGTCGCATTTTTTGCAAGTTATGCGGCCACCATAGTTTCTCCTAAACGCTTGGAAGGCTGAGCTGTATTCAGTTGGAGATGCCACTAAATCCTACACATTGATCCTTTAAGATATTTCTAATTTTACACATGAATGTAATCAGGGCTAACTTGTATTTATATATTATTTATATCAGAATGACGTAGCCATGCATCATACTCTGAAAACCATACACACCGGAGGGGAAAACAATCGGTGTCACGCTAACAAAATGCCTTTCAGGATTCTTTACCCTTTAAGTGTGTACACTGCAGCTTTTAGACATTGTTCTGTTCTTGATAGTGATTGAGTGAGTCACACTAGGGACTAAAAGACAGGATATCTCAGCTTTTGTTGCTCTTGTTCTTTTAATCAGTCTCTTGTGAGTCCCCCAACTTTATGGAAATGCAATACTAAATCTCTGGAGAAATACCCCATTAAAAATAATGAAATGCAGCAGTACGCAAAGGACACTCTTACCTGTGCTAAATATAGATTACACTAATCCTTATGTAGCAGCTGTACAGATCGTGAACCTCACCTGTAACTCTAAACACTCAAACTGCAGCCTATTAATAGCCTGTAACATACTGCCCTCCAACAATCTCAGCTGTTGCAGAATGACTAACGTCATTGTTCGCTCAGCAGGTACTGTAGTTCTGAATCATCAGTGCAGATGAGGATCATACATCTCACTATGCGTTTGCCAATATCAGATAACAGTCTGACTAGGCAGGATTAGAGTAGGGAGGTAACTTTGGGACTAACCCTGGCTTTTCAGTCTTGAGGAAATGGCTCAAGACAAACTCTGTTCTCTCTGTTGCCATGGTAACTAATGCAGATTCATCTTAATACAGGGTCAAATGCAGGTTGGAGGCTGTCTGGCTTTGGTGAACAGAAATAGATTCAGCCACTGTTTAAACATCAAGAGATCAAGAGAAAGGAAGCATGCACGAACCGGGAGAAGTAATTCTGGTAATGTAATTCAGTGTCATTCAGTCACTCAGACGAATATGAACATAAGTCAGTTTATTATTAAGTCTGTTTAGAATGCTTTCACTCTGAACCTGTTGGGTCATGTCCAAAAAAACTCTGGTGCATTTGCCTGTTTAGTTCATTTAAACTGATGTGAAAGATGTCATTGATTCTGGCATGCACCAAACAATCAAATCCATTAGTCTCTACCATGGTGTGTTTATGTTGTGAAAGCAAAGTTGACCAACCACAGTATTGGGGATGGGCATGAACACTTGAGTACTCGTTTAGATGTCGGTATTTGTTCAATGTATCGAGTACTCACATTTAGATGTGCACATACACAGAGGCAGATAACGCTTACTGCTTCCAGTCACATATAACTGATCTAATGTTACAGGCAGAATGATGAGCAGGCATAAAAGTGATGTTCGGAAGTATTTGATAAAAGAAGACGAAATGAACGTGCAGTGCAAGCAATGTAACATTAACCATGTGTATCACTGAACACCAGCAGAGACTTATCACCTCATTTGCTAATGTTAGCAGTGTTAGCAAGAACCACTGTGATAATATAATTCAAAAATATTGAATTATTGCAACCTCTTAATGTTGTGGGTATGATTTTTCTTCATGTTAGCTAATCTGTGGGAGTAGGATAACCTTGACCCCACCTGCATTTTGGCTTGCATTTTCATTTCGGAACCTAATCTTATATTAGATTGTTTTTTTGTGTGTCCTAAAATAAAACTTGAGAGTGCTTGAATATGGAAATGATTTAAATCAGGATTTCCACAGATACATCACAAGTTGAAAACGAGTTGTACCAGCAAGAGTACAAACCAGCTGTGTTGCATTTCAATCATTTAATTTCAGTGTGAAAACCAAGCACACCAGAACTAAAAGGCAACATGGGGTCATTCTTTCTTCGATGTGGAACAAATGAGCTGGAATGCAGGTATGAAAGTGACCTTAGACACCAATGAATGCCACCTCCTGTCTTCTGACATTTTCAGCAGACTGAGCTCTCAGTTTCCTCTCTGACCGTTGCAGCTCTGTCCTTTATTTAGACCTAAATAAGGTGTCCTAAAGTGCCAGACTAACAGAACAGTACATTTGACAAACAGAACTGGGTGTATGTGTGTGAATCAGATAGACATTAAAATGCAGTGCTGACCTGGAGCCTCTTCATGGTCTGTGAGTCCTGGTCAGCCTTGACCTTGCAGGCCACCAGCAGTTGAGCAGTGGAGGCCGCCACCTGTTTGGCTGATGAGATGAGCTTCTCTTCGCTGGCGTGTCCCTGCACCGCAGAGTTAGCTGCCTCACACAGGTTGTTGGTTGCTGCGGCAACCATTCGAGCCTGAGGAATCGAAGGCATTGAAGATGTTTTACTAATCACTTAAGAAATAATTCTTAAATATACCTTAACGGAAGAGACTTACAGCTGAAATAAGCCCCTGAGACCACTGTCCGTCATCCACTGCATTGGCTGGGATCGCTCCCACCTGAAAATACAAGAAAACTGCCTCAGAATCATAATGGTTTCACTATGAGTTCAAGTCTGTGTATCTAAAGCATTTATAGATATCAAAAACATTTAATGCACAAAGGGGTAGCAGGAAACAGTCTGCTGGCTTTTTTTTATTTTTATTTTTTTCATAAAGGCAATAAAAGCCCAAAAAAATACCTTAAAAAATAAAATAAAATCTACACGGCTGTCTGGCTTTCTGCCAGAAACCATGTTGACGAGAATTTAGACTTGAGATATCCAAGCTTAAGATATCGAAAGTAACGAGGTTTGGAAGGAATGCGGAGTTTAAAACTAAGTCAACTGTCTCGAAGTGTATAGAAACAAAGCAAGACAGAAGGTAGTGCTGTGACAACCACTCACTGTTTTATGACAATATTTTTAGATCCTTCCCCACTGGAGTCCGCTCACTCTATGTATGTCTTGGACACAGTCGTAAGATGTGGTTTAATTTTTAAACATCTTTTTGAATTAGTCTTTCTCTCTAAGTAGTAATGATTAATTAATTCTTCAGGTTTTGGTTCCCAAAGGCCTGAAAAAATTTGTCGAACGAGGTCCTACATTGATACACAAAAAGTTGTTGTCCGTTTGTTGTACTTAAAAGAATAACATTGTGTCTCAAACCTTTGTGTTTTACATGGTTCAAGATGCTATCAATCTTGATAACATGCAATGATAAACGCTATCTGCTGATTGGATTATGCATTGGCCCTGGTTTGATCGGGAATGACGGTGTCAGCAAGTCAAAAGCCCCATGGAAGCTCCATTCCTCAGCGGACACCTGTGATAGTTGACCCGTTTAGGACCCGATCAGGGTCGTCCTCACATTCGGCAAAACCTGCTGGTGTTAATCGCGATGACACCATGGCGCCACACTGAGGCACTGATTGAGAGGCTAGACGAAGCGACTCTCCAGGCTTATGTGCACACACGCACCCATGGACACTTACACATGCGCATATGCAACACTTATGCAACACTTCTTAGAAACCTCATTTTACCATTTCAAACTGTGGAGGCTTTAAATGTTGCTGCAAGTATTATTTACTTGACAACTGGGCCTCAGAGTACTCATCCTTTTGGTGGATTTAGACGTACCTTCCCTTGAGCCACCAGCTCCCTCTGTGCTGCTGAAGCAGCTTTGACCAGAGCACTGGTGGCAGCAGCGATAGACTTGGCTGCCTCTAGAATCTGCTCCTCAAAGTTCAAGCTCTCATCTGCCTCCTGTTTACAAGAGAGGGAAACCAACAGTCAATAAACACACTGTTACAGGGCTGTTATGATCTGTGGGCACACAAAAAAGGCCCACCCTTAAAAACTATATAGCATAGGAAAAACTGGTGTCCAGAACTACTTTGCTTATAGCCCAGAAGACATGCAGCACACATATTGTATGTGACCTTGTGGTGAGGTTAACAGGCTCAGTGTGAATGCTGCTACTCCGTAAAAAGCCCTCTGACCTTGGGTTTGGTCCTGGGCCTCAGCTGCTCCAGTTTCTTGGCAGCTGCTTCAATAGCTGCTGCCGCTCCCAGCAGCTCGTTCTCTGCGATGACGGTGGGATCCTCGGGGTCCACCCACTCTGTGCCTACAACACACACAAACAATCTGTGCTTTCAAACATTATAAACTCTTCCCCAGGATTTGTATTTGCTAAATATGGTACAATGGTAATGATAATATGGCTCTCCATATCTTTTAGAATTTATTTTAAAGTTCTGCTGCTTATACAGAAAGGTTTTAACGGACCACTTTGTATCGCGAACTATCATTTTAAGTCACAATGTACAAATTTAGATTGTCCTCCGCCAACCCTATTGTGATTGTGCTGGTTTGTTATTATTTGTCTGCCACAAACGCTCAAATTCCTGTGAGTTGGAATGAGCTACAAACATTAAACTTATCTTATCATTCAAATCGGCTAAAAGTTGTACAGTAACTAAGGCCCACAAATTCAACTTTGGAAAGGCCATGCTCCTAACACAATAAGTCTGACTGACTCGAAACTCGAAAAAGTCCAGCTCAATGCGCTTTACAAAGAAGCCTTCTGGTCCATAAAGTTTCGCCATGATGGATTGTTTTTCTAATCGGCATAAACTGAAAACCAGTAACATTCAATAGAACTTTTGAGAATTTGGCTCAATCCTCACCAATTCTGGTATATAGCATGGCAGGACCCTTTGTCCAGTCATCATAAAACTTGGTAGATATCTTCAGACTGTGATTGGAAAGAGGTCTACCAAAGCATAAGCATTTTGGTGTGCATGGACGATGGATCAAAATCTGAAGCACTGTATTGATTGGTGGAAGGTGTGGCCTGCCACATTTTTGCTGATTACTTAAGATGCGTTTGAGCAATACTAATAAAACTTACTGGAGACACCCAAGGCCAACTCCTGGGTGTATCCACTGAGTTGGGTTTGAATTGGATAGATTGTAGGCTGTGATGATGAAACAAGTGTGTGATTGGTCTCAGACCTTCATTAAAAAGAATTAAACTGTTGAAGTGAGAGATAGGCAAGGATAGGTACTCATAGAAAATCCTCAAAATGGAGGCATCAGAAGGTGCTCTGATCAGATGCTGAACCACCTCAACTGGCTCCTTTCAACATGAACAGATAGACAGATAGATAGATAAATAGATAGATAGATAGATACTTTATTTATCCCGAGGGAAATTCAATTGTGTTAAGTTAGTAAGATGACATTTCAGTGACTCATATTCACATTCAATAGGTGAATTTGATGCTGGATTTGGATAGGATGAAATCCTAATGAACTATAATCCTGCACATCAATCACAGCCACTTTGGTTGGAGTAAAGTGGAGCAGGGGGACATTAATCTGCGATTTAAAGCTCTGAGGGTGACTTTCCCTCTATTTGAGAGAACACTCATTCATGGAATCGCCTTGAGTTCAATGTAATTTGTACTTCACTCTTAAGAGGGGGATCCCAGAACAGAGCTGTGTGAAACTGTAGAACTCTGAGGGGGATATTTACTAATCCTACTTCAAATTACTGTCAAGTCTCATTTGCATGAAGTGCTCTAAATAAGAGCTGATGCTGGGCTATTTAAGACACATCTTCTGCATCTGTGAAAGGCAGTGTACAGTGTAATTTCTTATCTGATATTGTACATCAGTATTATTTTTTAAATGTCATCAACATATTAATGAATTATGATTGAAGCTCACTACTGCAACAAATGTGTGTAAATGGATGGTCTTATCCCCACATCTATCCTGCTGTTAGACATATTTAGACAGATCAATAAGGACACTGACGCAATGGAATGCAAACTGAGACACAAAAAGACAACCTAAGGAATGTAGGTTTGTTCTACTTTTGTTGTGCCGTTGAAGAGGTCAAAGGCTACGATACCTTTCATGGCCTCTGCAGCCTGGATGAGCTCAGTGACAGAGCCTGCCACCCGCTTGGAGTAGCTGGCCAACTGTTGCTTCAAATCATGAGAGGGCTTCTGGATGATCTGTGGGTAAAAGGAAACAAAGTCACAACCTTTAATTAAACCTTTTTTTAAACCATTGACTTTCTATATTACTAGGGCTCATTTACAGAAATGTTTTTAGATTTATATTTGTCTTAAGATAATTTCTGACGGTGCGCTTAGGTTTGAAACATAAAAGATACAGAGCATAAAAAACCTTACTTATGCAGGTTCTAAGAAGCCCTTTTGTAAAATATGCACCAGTGATCTATAAATCTCAAATTAACATAAAAGCTACAGCACCTGCTATAGAAATTTCCTCTTACATAATGCTTATACAAATGAGGGTTTAATCAGGAATAGTCATGGACCAAAGGACAGATGGTGAATTAACAGTGTTATGACTTTTATTTATTTAATTTGTCATATTGATCCACCAACCAGCAGTTATTTTAGTGAGAAATATATATTTTTGAAACGGTTCCTTCTTCTCCCGCTAAGCACAGTTTACCAACCAGAGTCTGGCTAGCTGAGGCAACAAATTGTAAGGTTTGTACAGAATACAGTTTCTTTATGGATTATATTGATGCTGAATTGACAAAAAGGCTGTTGACATATGACACCCTTGATCTTGAGATATGTGGTTTTACAGACACATAAGGGATTGTTAATATGTTGTATTTCTTAAAGGGAGTTTGGGGTAATATTTTCCCCACAGAGTGCAGGGAGCTTTTCAAACTGCTATGTATGTTTATATTTTTTGACATTTTGTCACCACTACAGAAATACAGTATGATAAGATTGTCTCATTGCTGTTAGTTATTGGTTCGATAGGTGTGCTACTCTGGTATTGTTGAACAATGGCGCTGATAAGATACAATGCAGATGCATAGTTTGTCAATCCACAGACAGTTTACGATGTAGAGGTACTCAGTAACAATACCACATGACAAAATATTAACATTAGAATATGTGCCTTCATACATGAAGTGAAAATGTTTATTTTTTTTCACCTGGTCTTTATAAAACATAGGTCATTCAAAATTATAAATAATAATCAATATCAACTGAAATAAATAATTTTATTGTGATCGCGCAGCCCTACTAAAAGTCAGCCATTAACTGTTGTATGTTAATGTTATAGTTTGCCTAAATTCTTAATTCTATTAGTCTATTAGTTGGTTGTACAGTAGCTTTTTGTTATCCTATCAGAGTTTTTTTTTCTTTTTTCTATTGATTAAGTCATCATAAGTTACAGAGACTGTTACATCAAATGTATAATATAATATTCAGTGTTGGGTCAGATTACTTTGAAATGTAGCCAGTTACTGAATACAAATTACATGGACATTTTTGTAATTTAACACTTTTGGATTACTTCAAAATCTAAATTTGAAAATATTGCACCTTATACTAAGAAATGAACACACCCACAAAAATGTAATTCCACAAATATTCCTTTTTGTCTTTAAACATCTTACATTCAAAACAAATATGAATGTAAATAAAATTTGTTTTACATATTCAGTTCAGTTTGTGAAGGTTATTGTTAATTTTATTTTTTAATTTTTTATTTGTACTAACCTCATTCCCGTATCAAGATCTATAAAGTCCAAACTGTTTATACAGCTTTAGTTACATGAATAAAAGTTTGATTATTTTTAAAATTGCATTGTATTCAAAAATTGTATTTAAATTTTAAGTAAATCATGACAATGTAACTATGAAGTTAACTATAAAGTTAAGTTGGATTTGTTGGTGCTCAGTGTGTTTGGGTTTCAGTGTGTGTCCTCAGACTGTCCTAGGTGGACATGCAGTATTCAGGTTGGAGCAGTGTGTGACAGGTGCAGGGCATTAACAGGGCTCAACCCATACCCAGCTCAAGTTTATTCAGATGTGTTGTCATTAGAAGATAGAGGCAAGGACGTAACTGCACAGGAACGCATGCAGCAGGCCAAACTAATGCCACTGGCAAACACATCCACATACTGCACACCAACAAACTGTATTACAGAAAAATGGAAAAATATGGCATGTTCGGTATTACACAAACACAAACAATTCCATGCATCAATTCTAGAAAAGATTCATTCATCTGTGATTTTATCAAGTTTAAAAGGTAAGAAGTCTCACTGTGCAAGACATCAGCAAAGACCAAACCATTTCACTGAGCAACATGATCAGCAGGCAATGGTAGTACTGGGTTCCCTACAGAGGTCAACAACCACAGAGGCAGGATCACAGGCTCAGATCAAAACTACAGTGTATTCAAATCACACTTTTTCATGATGTTTAACACTTAATCACAGTGGATGGAATTCAGATAGTTAGTTTTCACACATACCTCATTTGG